AAAAACATGCCCTCGACTATCCTGCGGGGGCACAATGCGTTCTTCGGGATTTTTATGTGGATGACTTGCTCGCCGGCGCCAATACATTGTCCGAGGCAGGGCGCATTCGTGACGAAGTGATAGCCTTATTAAGGCGCGGACAGTTTGAGCTTGGCAAATGGTCATCGAATTGCCGAGAATTGTTACAGGGCATTAGTAACACAACGAGTGCGGAGGTGTCATTAGGCGATGAAGCGGACTCGAAAATATTGGGAGTCGCATGGGATCCGTCCAGCGACGGATTTCGCTTTGGATACAATTGCGGCGCACCGACGGGTAGCATAACGAAGCGGACGATCTTGTCGGAAATCGCGAGTCTCTTCGACCCTTTGGGATTATTAGGGCCACTGACGGTTGTGGCAAAAATGATCATGCAAGATACGTGGCAGACTCACGTCGGGTGGAACGAGTCGTTGCCGCAAGATTTGCATCAGCGATGGCTGGACGTAAAACAACAATTGACGCGCTTTTGCGAATTGCGTGTGTCGCGTTTTGTCGGATTTCGGGTGGACGCGCGCGAATCACAGGTACACGGCTTTTGTGACGCGAGCGAGCGTGCGTACGGCGCGTGCGTATACATAAGAACGCGCGATTTCGACGGATACCGGGTGGAACTTTTAATTTCCAAATCGCGAATAGCACCAATTAAAGCAGTTTCATTACCGCGGCTAGAATTGAATGCCGCGTTATTGCTATCCCATTTAATCGAGAAGATGCGCGCATCGGTTGATTTATCGAACTCAGAGATGATTTTATGGACGGATTCCACAATCACAATACAATAGATATCGTCGTCGTCGCGCAAATGGAACGCTTTCGTGGCCAATCGCGTCGGCGAAATTCAGCGCCTTACCAGGAGATCGAGCTGGCGGCACGTGCCGTCCGCTCACAATCCTGCGGACATATTATCGCGCGGCGTCGACCTGGCGGGCTTAATGCAATCGACAATTTGGTGGAACGGACCTGCATTCTTGCAGTTAACTGAGAAACATTGGCCGGCCAAATTATGTGTCGACTTGTCGGGCGAGTTACCGGAACAAAAAAGGGTAACCGCAGCGGTGATATCCATACAACAATCGATCGTACTAAACTTGTTGGACAAACATTCCAATTTAGACAGGGCATTGCGAATCATCGCTTACTGCCTGAGAGCAGCGCGTTCGCGTACGATCAAATATCAGACAACGTTTATTTCGCATCACGAAATAACAGCCGCTCTGCGAGTCGCGGTGAGGTGTGTACAGAGGCATGCCTTTCCAAGGGAACATAAACAGTTGACCGAGGGTCGGAGCGTTGACGGCGGAAGTCGGATTCTGTCATTGACTCCGTTTATGGATGAACACGAGATCATTAGAGTGAGGGGTCGAATAAGCAATGCAGCATTGCCATATGACGCGTGACATCCCGTGCTATTGCCGAAGAGTCACCGATTGACAACCTTAATCATACAGCGAGAGCATGTAAAAAATTTGTATTCAGGCCTACAGGCCACAATGCATGCGGTGCGTCGACGATTTTGGCCTCTGTTCGGCTGTCCGAAAAACAATTCACAATTGCGTAACCTGCTTCAGGTGTAAGCCGGCTGTATCGCAAGCATTAATGGCAGATTTGCCCGTGCAACGCGTGACGGCTTCGAAACCGTTCACACACAGCGGCGTAGATTATGCCGGACTCATACTCTTGAAAGAGGGCAAGAGACGCAATGCCAAATTACACAAGGCGTATATGTCGGTGTTCGTTTGTTTCTCGACCAGGGCCGTACACCTCGAGATTGTAACCGATTTAACATCGGAAGCGTTCCTTGGCGCCTTTAAACGCTTTATATCGCGTAGAGGCAAGCCGGCGTGTGTATATTCAGATAACGGCACTACGTTTGTCGGCGCGCGCTAACATATTAAGGAGCTGTATGACTTGATCAACGACGACGACACGCAGTTTGCGATACGGCGTTTTATGCGAGATAATGAAATCAATTGGCATTTCATACCGTCCCACGCTCCACATGTCGGGGGCCTGTGGGAGGCGGCCGTGAAGTCGGCGAAATTTCATATTAACCAAATAGTAGGTAACGCGAATCTCACATATGAAGAGATACAAACCGTGTTATGCGAGATAGAAGCGGTTTTAAATTCGCGACCGTTGACCCCGTTAAGCGAAGATCCAAACGATCTGCATTGTATTACGCCGGGACATTTCTTGATTGGTGCAGCACTAAACAGTTTCCCAGTTGCAGATTTTACGAAAGAGAATCCGGGCCGACTGCTGCGATGGCAACGCGTAGAACAGCTTCGGCAACACTTTTGGAAGCATTGGAGCGCCGAATATTTACATACTTTAATCGAGCGACAAAAATGGAGGGCTAGCAGGGGCCAGCAATTGAAAATCGGTCAGCTCGCCATGGTGCAGCAACCAGGCTTGGGGCCGCTGCAGTGGTTAATAGGCAGGGTGCAACATCCGGGCCCTGACGGTATTGCAAGGACGGCCACACTAAGGACCGCGAAGGGTCAATTAACAAGGCCGCTAACGAAACTAGCTATCCTTCCGATAGACGAGGCACCTGCCGATTAAAACGCGTGTTACACATTGTAAAATTTAAATTATGATTTATTTGATCAATTTTGACCGCGAGTAGATCGATCGCGAGCTAATGAATGTAATAATTTATTGGGATAATTTGACAAAACAATTTTTATTGTAAATTGTGATGTGCGATAATGTCATTTTCAAGTTCTATTTATATTACTATTTACCCTTTATTTATATTTCAATTTAGGATATCACATGTTTCTAGTTGGATTGCGAATAATAATTCACGTGTTGAAGGCATGTCCTTCAAGGGGGGCAGGATGTTCGATACACGACCGATGTGATTTGCGCCGGACACCGATCGCGGTGATCTCACTGCTTTCTTTCTCGTCTCATTTCGGCGAAATTCGGCGTATTCAGAAAACACGGACGAGTGGGAAAATGAGCCTCGATGATCTCCATCGATGTGTCCGTGAAAACACTTCTGTTCCAACTGTCGCGCTAATAACAAATAAGACATTCACAACAACCGGCGAGCGAACGCACGAATACTGTACATCGATCTACTCGGCACCGCAACAATAAATCTCAATCCTGAGAACTAAATTTGATTGCATATGTTACGTGAATTTCCCCGTCACATCACGGTTTGGCGAGACAATACAATTAGGAGCATTTCGTATATCAATACTCGCATCACGCATACGAGATCATTTTTTGTACAATAATAAAATGAAGTTATGATTGCTAAATTATATAGTTATGATTTCAGAACGCGGTATATTCTTATATAGTTACGGTGAAATGTTATATTCATGGAATCCTTATTTATGTAAATATATTGAAAAAAAGGAGAATAACATCTCTGATACTAAGTTGCAAGAATCAATAGTAAGGTTCCATAAATATAATTACAATTGAGGCGCATCGTTTTCGTTATCTTATAATTTAAAGAAAAGATTTTATGGAATATTTTATGACAAATAGTCGGTCATTAGAATTTATAAATTTTATAATTCATTCACCATTGTGTGATTAAAATATTTATTCAGACGATTCGTCATTTTAACTATTCCATAAATAAGATTACTCAATTTCAAACATGTCGATTATAGAGTTCACACATTGATTAATAGGTTTGCACACATTGATTATATTTCGCATTTATCGTTTATACCGTTAGGATTGTAAGAGATGGCGACGTCTAGTAATTTATAGATATATGCTTATTGTGTTGGATTGGTCGCGTTGCTAGTCCCTAGACTAGTTACAACTAGAAGATTCCCTATGTCGGTATTACTAACGATAAATAATAAAAACGTCTAATTCTAAATTAAATCATTCTCAAAATAGTTAATTATATAGGTTCTCGCAAGAAATGATGTAAAAGCGAAAAATTTTGGGTTTTGACCAATGGCGGAACGTCACACATATGCTTATGCGCTTATGCAAGAGTGTGTGTTTCCCGCTTTATACTTAAGACTTAAGAATTTCATCCATACGGAATTCACAGAGCTGCTTAAGTTTCAAAATGGCTGCCTTACTGCTCGATCATGATTAGTCCTTAAAACATATATACCTTGTGACGTGGTCTTATTGAGCCCGTCACAAGGGCGGACACGCTCGGCCGGGAAGCGTCTGAGAGCGCTGTACAATTTTGTGTTTTGTGCGGGTGAGCAGCGACCTTTTCGCTAGCTTGCCCGTACTCTGTATCGGGATCGAGGTGGTAGGCCAGGAGAACGGCCATTGTTTTAGGGAGAAGAGGACCTGGGCAGACGACGGAGGAACGACTTCGAAAGGGGAGGAGCGGAGACTGAGCGACCGGCCCGGTGAGTATTAAGAACAATAAAATATACGCGGTACCGAGAAAATAAGGAAGGGATACTGCAAATAAACTCGTTACAGCCTCGATGGGACGAACAGGAGCAGTCCAAAACAGGGAGGAAAAGGCACCTACATCCCTCGACAAGAATGATTCCCCTGAGGGGCCCGCCACCACACATCGAGAGAAACACGGAGATCTAACGGGACTGATCACGCCGAGACCGCTGATTATTTGCCGAAATATTGTTGAGTGGTGCGGCCTGACCGCACCTGGCGCCCAAAAGATACGATACCGAGCTATCAGTGATACCGAGCAAGTATTGAGGGAACGGAGAGCGGCACGACGAGGTTGCGCAGCAGTCTCTCTCGCACTCTCTCTCTCGTTTGACGAGAGAGGACGGAGAGACGGTCGCAACCTGGAAGGGGAATTGCTATTGTTCTCCATGGTAAAAATCTGTGTCCAAGTTGGGTGCGAGAGAGAAAGATAGCTTTTAATCTATGCTCGCAATGCGCAAATGTAGATGACGTCACGCTCACTGCGCCGTTTGAAACTGGAAATGTAATTGGTGCTTTCGCTAATTCGCGTTTGCGCATTGCGAATGGAGGTAACAATCTACCCTTCTCTTTCTTTAAAAACGTGGTTCTCTCTCGCATCCAACTTGCACACAGTTTTGCGCTCCTATTTCCCTTCCATATCTATATGTTCTAAGGATTAGTCGATTCGCTTAAGTTCTACTGTTTACTGCTTACATTTTTTTATGTGCCACGACCTTTACAGGCAGAAATATCGTGTATGAATGATAGAACGTGCGAGACAGGTGAATAATGTTCAAAAAGAACAACTCTTTCTTGTTTTTTGTTCATTGTTAATTACAATTACTGGTGAATTCGCGGTATGCTGAAAAAGCTGAAACGGTCTGAACTTTATTTTCCACTATATTTTCTTGACGCCGAATCTAGAGAAAGTCTAGTGATTTTAATTTGACGCTGATTTCTCCATTAAGCGCAGTTTTCATTGACGCTAGAAACCAGCGTCAAACGGAGATCACGTGACTAAATCTGTCGCTTGTCTAATGAAGGGAGAAGTAGTGGCAAAATATGCGCGTCGTGAACCGCCGATAAAATTGAGAATATAATGGCTTACAGACAGAAATATCGTGCATGGATGACAGAACGTGTGAGGCAGGTGAATAATGTTCAAAAAGAACAATTTTTTCTTCTTCTTCGTTTATTGTTAATTACAATTATTGTTGAATTTGCGGCACGCTGAAAATGCTGAAACCACAGTATATGTATAACCAGTAGCGTCACTCAAGAAAAATAGCGTCGGAGAAATGCTACGGCGCATGCGTTGGATTACTATCCACAATATGGCGTACAGTGAGTTGTAAACACAGTAAGTGGTGGTTATGTTTATCAAAATAAATATATTCTATTAATGAATTCAAGTTAATTAAAGGACTATGTTAAGTTTCAGGTTTGAAAATATTTTTAAAAAACATTGTTATAATAATGGAACGTCGCGTAGTTGTTGGTGGTTTCACGTGCGCAATGCAAGATTGCAATGAAAATTCCGGCTCCAGTCGTCACTTGAGCTTTTTTCGCTTTCCATCTCATCCAGAAAGGTATTAATTGTTTGACAATTTCCTATATACGTATATATAAAATTTAATTGTTTCTAAAATTACAATAACATTTATTTTAGAGCACAATTGTGGCTACAAGCATACGGAATAAAAAAAGATATTGCACCAAAAAAGTTATATAATAATTATAGAGTTTGCTCAAAACATTTTCTATCTTATATGTTTTTGAACGATTTAAAGAATCGACTTCAACCACATGCAGTTCCGTGTGCAATTTTTAACAATGATGATACGAATAAAGAAGATACTACATCTACACAAAATGAAATCAATAGTAAATAATATTTTCTATTAAGTGTATATTATTAGATTTATACTTATAAGTTAACTGATTATTTAATATATTAGTATTACTACGTTCTAAATTAAAAAAATATTTTAGTAGAAACTTCAACAAAACATTCTACAATAAGCAATGTAGAAGCAAATGTATTAAGTGCTGTGACCATGTGTTCGACAACCGATATGACAGGTAGGATATTTTCAATCAAAAAAATGTGCTCAATCTGGATTTAGTTAGATTTCTTTCAAAGTTGTTTCATGTTTATTTGTAATTTCAGATGTAAACATCAATTTCACTGACAATGAGACTGTGTCAACTAATGATCCGGCATGTACAAATGAACACAAAGCTACTCAAATGGAATTAAAATTATTGAATAATACTTCAAGAAAACAAGCTCTTAAAAGAAAGTGTGATGCTGCTGAAAAAAGAGCAAAACGCGCAAAATTAAAATATAAGGAAAAAAATAAGAGTATAGAAGACATTCAGTGATTTTCAAAAACTTTTGTATAAATTTTATCCAAAACCCATAGCTGATTTTATGAAAGCTCAAGCAGATAATCTTAATCACAAAAAACACGGTAAAAGATATACGAAAGAATTTAAAATGTTTTGTTTAAATTTGTATTTTAAAGGGCCTAAAGCATATAGATTATTAAGTAATACTTTTATTTTACCATCGAAAAGAACACTTGAACGCTCAATAGAAGAACTTATAATTTCTCCAGGTTTACATGACATTATATTTGAAAGACTTAAAGTTAAAACTGAAAATTTAAATGTATTATTTAGATAAATACTGCTGCATCAGCATTGATACAATGTCATTAAAAGCAAATTTATTTTATATAATTAATAGAGACGAAGTCATTGGATTTCATGATACAGGTTACACTAAAAGTTTCTTAACTGCATGTAATGCAGTGGTAATTATGGTCAGAGGTTTGACAAATAAATTTAAGCAACCACTTGGTTATTTTTCCTTAATTCTACTATGAATGCAGATGAATTACAAAAGATTACTATTGAATGTGTTACAAAGCTTCAAAATATAAATCTAACAGTTATTGCACAAGTTACAGATATGGGTACGGATTATCAAAAAACAGCTAAAAAATTGGGTGTAACGGAAGAAACTTCTTATTACATAGTAAATGAGCAAAAAATATTTTACTTCTTTGATCCACCACATCTCATTAAAGCAGCTAGAAATAATTTGTTAACTAATGTCATTAAATCAGGAGATAAAATTCTCTCATGGAAATATATTGAAAAATTATTTGAAATAGACAAAAAAAACATAAACAGATTAGTACCTAAATTGATTCAGGACACACACATTCATCCCAATAATTTTCAGCGAATGAAAGTAAAATACGCTGCTCAAGTGTTAAGTTTTTCTGTAGCTTCTGCTATTAATTCTGTTAGATTTCGGAGTTGGAATCCGTGATTATAGTGAAGGAAAAGATCGATAGAAATTATACTTCGTATGTTGAATTTATTCAGGCTTTATTTGTGCTCCGAATTTGACGCGGTCGTAGCTGTGCTCGCACTAAACTCTCTTTTTGAGCGAGCTGGCGACGACGTATACAAAATGAAAATCAAAGAGTGACCGGGTCACGATGTAAATAAAGATCGCATATTTCGAAATACAGAGAGAACATCACATCATATCTCTACACTCCCCCTTTCGAAATGCGTTCATATATATATTAGTTTATTAAATTTAATGACTGCACGCAATTTATATGCTTATCCTTCACCAAAGATTTTGTTAAAATGTCTTCAACGTTCTTGTCTGTAGGAACGAATTCTACGTTAATCAATCCTTGAATTTGGGCATCTCTAGAAAAGTGGTATCTTATCTCAATGTGTTTACTTCTTTGGTGAAGCATATTCTCTTTACTAAGTATAATCGCGCTCTGATTATCGCATAATATGTCCGTCGGTTTGTGTACATACTGATTTCCGTACATTTCCCTGACCAGTCTTCGTAAGTGTATTGTTTCCTTTGTGGTTTCCGAGAGAGCCATGTATTCAGCTTCCATTGTTGAAACCGCAACCGATCCTTGTTTCTTGGAAAACCAGCTTATCGGTCCGTCGGCCAATATGTGTACACCCCCCGAACAAAATTTGCGATCATCTTGATCACCGGCCCAATCCGCGTCCGTAAATGCGCGCAACGGTTTCCCCGTTTTTCGGTATATAAGATTATATAATTATCCGTTTGTTTCAAATAACGGACGATTTGCTTCGCGCATTTCCAGTGTTGTGGTCCGGGATTTACATTATATCTACTCAGGGCGCTTACTGCAAACGAAATATCGAGCCTCGTAGTGTTTGCCAAATAGAGAAGGCTACCGATCAATTCTCTGTACGGTTTGTTTTCCATTTCTGTTTTGTTTTCAAAACTTGTCGCCTCCATTTCTTTCGACAACTTTATACCCGAGGGTAGAGGAGTAGACGCAGGTTTACATAGGTTTATTCCGAAACGCTCGATTATTTCATGTATATATTTTCTTTGTGAGATTTTTATTGCACCTGTGTCTCCTTCCCTTTTTATTTGAATCCCGAGGATCTCGCTTGCAGGCCCCAGATCTTTCATTTTAAAATGTTCGCTTAATTCTAACTTAAGTTTACGCATAATATTTATCGATTTAGTGGCTAAAAGTAGATCGTCCACGTAAACGACGATTATTACGTTATAGTTATCAATTTTTCCCGTATAAACGCAAGGTTCTACTCTAGATTCATCTAGTCCAATTTGTTTAAGTTTTTGGCTAAGCTTATGTTGCCAAGCGCGGCCAGATTGTTTTAATCCATAAATAGGACGACGTAGACGACATACCTTATTTTTATTATTGATAAACATTTCGGGCTGTTCCATGTACACCGTTTCTAGCAAGTCGCCTTGAATGTATGCTGTTGTTACATCCATTTGATGTACATGGTAATCCATTTCTACGCTTAACGCTAATAGAGTTCTAATTGTTTGTATTCGAGCGACTGGAGCGTATACTTTCATGTAATCAACGCCAAATCTTTGTTCGCATCCGCGCGCGACTAGTCTCGCCTTGTATCTATCTATTTCCCCATTTTGAAATTTTTTTATATGAAAAACCCATTTAGACGAAATTACTCTCATGTCTGTTGTTCTATCTACTAAATCCCATGTATTGCATTCTAATAGTGAACTGTATTCGTTTTTCATCGCATCTAACCATCTTTCTTTATCTGGCCTCTCCCACACGTCCTCTATTGTTTCCGGATCATTATCTAAAGTATTTAATGCTACGTTCGCTACATGGTACCGTTTCTTGGGACGCCCCGGAGTACCTGTTCGCATTATTTTAGGCCTACCTCGACCCCTTTTAGCTTCGTCGGGTGTTAATTCATGCGTCTTCAACGAATCACTCATATTTTCGCGTGAATCTAAGCTATCTCTTAAGTTTTCCGGTTCATTTTTCTCTTTTTCAATTTCTAGTTCCTCGTCATCTACGCTATTTGATGTTTCTTCCTCCTTTTCATGGTCTGGGTTTGATAACAAATTTATATCTATAAATTCCGTTGTATTTTTATTAATTTCTTCAATGAAACGAACGTCTCTACTCTTAATAATTTTTGTGGTACCAGGGATCCATAATCTATATGCTTTTGCCTCGCTAGAATAACCTACTAGGGTGGCTGTTTCGCCTTTCGAATCGAATTTCGAAATACCTGACCCTTTTCTTAAAAATGTAGCGTGGGAACCAAAAATTCTTAAGTACTTAACGTTTGGTTTCTTATCGAACCATAACTCATACGAAGTTTAACCATTATTTGCTTTTGAAGGGCATCTATTCCGCAGAAATACTGCCGTGTTGACCGCTTCGGCCCACAAGCTCTTGGGTACGTTTGCGTTTATTAACATTGCGCGCGCCATTTCGACAATTGTTCTATTCGCGCGCTCCGCGACGCCGTTTTGCTGCGGCGTGTATGCGACCGATAGTTGTCTCTTAATACCCTGACTTTCTAAAAATTCATCAAATTCTTTACTTACGTATTCTTTTGCATTGTCGCTTCGTAATTTTATTATCTTTCGGCCAGTTTCTCTTTCGACACGCAATTGATATTTTTTAAATTCCTTTGAGATATCACTACGCGACTTCAAAAATACGACTTCTATATACCGCGTCTTGTCATCGATGAAAGTTGCAAAATAACGCGCTCCCCCATTTGACCTTACATCCATAGGTCTGCAGATATCTGTGTGCACGAGTTCTAGCGTTGATTTGGCTCGAGTGCCCTCTGCAAAGGGCAACGTGTGTATCTTTGCTCGATCGCATATTTCGCACGGTAACCTTGAGGTCTTCAGTGACATGTCTAATCCATAAACTCTTTTCTTGTGGGCTAATTCTTTTAAGTCGTTGTAATTTAAGTGGCCATATCTTTCATGCCATAACTTGAAATTTAACTCGTGTTTATCCTGGACACTGAAAGCCTCGTGGTCCGCCGCTTGTTTAACTATATACATATTATTTCTTTTAGTCGCGATACAAACTAATGATTTATTCGGCTTAGTGATACGCGCTTTATCCTCCGTGAATATTACTTCGTAATTTTTCTCGGTTATTGCGGGAACCGATAATAGATTGCTCCTCAATTCGGGCACAAACAATACATTTGCTAACTTTATTGATTTTATTTTTTCTTGCAACATTACATTTATACGTACGATTCCTGATCCCTGCGAAACTATACTCTCTTTACCGGCTGTACTTATTTTACTCGTCGGCCCGTCAGACAACGTTTCGAACACACGGCGATTATTACACATATGTGACGTCGCGCCGCTATCTAAATACCATTCATTCTTTTCCGCCGAACAGGTTAACGCCGAAATCGCGATCAGGGAATCTTCTCCTTCATTGTCTTTAATATTTTCAGCGTTTTTGGCCTTACCTCCTTCTCTCTTCGGAAGACGGCAGCGAGAGGCTGGATGTCCATATTTACCACAATTGAAGCAGTTTCCGTTAAACTTTCTCCTGTCCTGCTCGCTCTTCACCGGGTATTTGTTTGTGTGTACAGGTGATCCCTTCATGTAACCGTTCCGTGACACAAGTGCTGTTGTTGCTCCGCTTTCTCTGATCTCTTGTCCTTGTCGCCTTGCTTCTTCTTCTATCAGTTTTCCTTTGATCAAATCGACCGTTGGAATTTGATCCCTCGATTCTATTGCCACGCAGAAATTTTCGTAATCCTCGGGCAAACTGCTCAGAAGCATAATTGACTGCAGCTCCGACGGAATTGCTATCTCTGCATCCTCCAACAGATTTATCTTTTCCTGGAAATTGTTTATGTACTGCGACATTGATTCGGAGGGATCCTTCTTCAAATTGTACAGCTGCCTGTACAAAACCGCCTTTCTTACTGGGCCTCGAGAGTTATGAACTTTTGCTAATTCCTCCCATGCTTGTTTAGATGTGACCGCCTTTCTTATATGACCAAGCTCTGCCTTTGATATGCTTAATGTAATGAGTGCGAGCGCCTTCTCATCCTTTGTTATCCAAGCCGTTTTACCTTGTGCATCCTCTGGCTTCACTAATTTTCCACTGGCATATTCCCATAAGTCATTGTATACTAAAATGCTCTTCATTTGCATTTTCCATACTTCGTAGTTGCCGTCCACTAGCTTTTCGATATGCTGTATACTGCTTTGCATCTTAATTTAATTTCACGGCACTGCCACTCAACTTTTTCTGTAATTTCTTTCTTTAAATTGTCTTCACTTACATACACGGGGCCTGGGCCCATAACCTGTTAGATTTCGGAGTTGGAATCCGTGATTATAGTGAAGGAAAAGATCGATAGAAATTATACTTCGTATGTTGAATTTATTCAGGCTTTATTTGTGCTCCGAACTTGACGCGGTCGTAGCTGTGCTCGCACTAAACTCTCTTTTCGAGCGAGCTGGCGACGACGTATACAAAATGAAAATCAAAGAGTGACCGGGTCACGATGTAAATAAAGATCGCATATTTCGAAATACAGAGAGAACATCACATCATATCTCTACAAATTCAATGATTGCTCTTGGACATTTTCTGGAAACTGCTAAAGATACATCAGAATATATTGAAAAATTAGATGCTGCTTTTGATATTTTTAATTCATCATATGTAAAAGGAAAGAAATCAAGTAGAAACGCGTTTGTAGCCTCAGAAGAACAAATAGAATTGTTAAAATTATTACAAACATATTTTTGCAGCCTAAAAGTTTTTACAAAAGATGGTAAAGACATTACAAAAAAAGTTAATGTATTTAGATACTGAAATCAAAACATAAATAGCTTAAATAAAATGTGGGAATACTTGCAGGAAATTTGATCAGGATTTAGATTTTTATTAATGCGGCGTATCAACCAAGATATACTCGAACATACCTTCGGATATATTAGAAATTTATCGGGCAATGCATTTAACCCAACTCCAGTGCAATTTTATTATTCTTTTAGAAAATTATTTGCTACAAAACATTGTTTAGTTATTGAGACAGGAAATTGTACCTTAGATGTTGAGGAATTGCAAATAGATATGGTGACTAGAATAGCTCAGTTTGAACAGGAATCTTTTGTACAAAATACATCATTGCAAAAAAATATTTCACCTATTCAAATTGATGACCATGATTATCGACAAAAAGACATTGTTGAAGCTAATGCATTTTATTACATTTGTGGTTACCTTATGTCAAAGAGTCTAAAAAAACATTCCTGTGATACATGTGAGACTTTTGCCAAAGATATTGACAATTTTAATGATAATAGATATTATACATTATTTAAAGCATTAAAATCTACGGAAGAAAATATATACGGCAGCTTATGCGTTCCGAATCAATTATTTCTGACCTACGTAGAAAATTTAGATAATATTTTTTTTGAGAATTTACGTACACTTATTTTAAATGAATCCGTTCTTTATAAAATGATTATTCTTTTAGAAACAGTTCCTCGTCCTCACCCATGTACAAACTTTCCAACAAAATATTTTCTCTCATTGTATGCCAGAGTTCGTCTTTATTTTGCATTAAAATTTGCCAACAAGCGCTTTAAAACTCAAGAAAGAAATTTATTATAATTAATATTTGTTTTTATAAAAATTAATTTTTAGTTTTAGTTTCAGATTATTTTGTTTAACCTTTATTAATATGCGATATGTTGTTATATAATTATAATTACATTTTGTTATCTAATATGTCATATGCTACATATATATATATATATATATATATATATATATATATATGTGTGTTAAAGATGCAGAAAATGTCTAATTTTTGTTTTTTCTAAACATTATAATATTAAAAATATTAATAAAAAGTGTTTTATTTTATAATTAATATTGTTTTCTAGGTGACTGAATTTCTGTTCAATTATTCAACACATACCTATCCACAAAATAGAGCTTATCTTATAAGTATTCATACGTATTCATAATAACAAGACAGAAATCAATTTAAGTACATTAAACAGATAAACAATAATACACCTGATAATATAAAACAAATTAGTCTTTTATAACCAATTGTAAATTACATAGAATTGTTATATACATTTATTTATTATCAATTTTTATATACATCTAAAATTTGAGATTTCGTATTTTTGAAGAGTATAACAAAAAATTGGAATCATTGATCACGAATTTATCGTAATTTTACACATTATATACATTTCAATTGTAAATAATCTAAATGTACATCAATATGTTTATAAATAAAATGGCAATAATAAATATGTTACTTGTTTAATATAAATAATTCATTAAATAATACACAAACATAATAAAAAAATAATTTATTAAATAACACATAGGTATATTTTAATATTATTACTTGTTAAATTTCTTCTTTTTTTATGTTTATATGATTATTTGCGTTACTTTAATGTTACATATATAATATGTATTTCAAGAAAATATACATTGTGGTTATTTATACAATAATTGTCTGCACAATTATAAAAATAATTGTTTATATATAGTTGCCTTTCTTTCTCACAATTTAAATATAAGCGCGCTATTACTATCAAGAACATGGCGACATGTCACATGATTTCGGACACTGACATCAAAAGAACCGACACGAAGTGCCGCTACTGGTTATACATCTGGGGGTCGATTGTGTATCTCAAAACCTAGTGAAAATGACAAAAGTGAGCATTCACTTGATTGGCTAATTTTCACTATAGTGAAAACACGAAATATTTCACGTGAGATTATTCGACAAGAATTATTGTGTCGAATAATGTCAAAATGTGTCGTATATCCTACTGCATTATATGTTATGTAGAGTAGAGCGCGATTAAAATACGTATTAAAAGAGAGGACATTACATTATACACCAGAATTTGCTGGTATGTAAATAATTATAGTGCATAATTGAGATAAGAAAAGGTATTTTTTAAATCTATTCTTTACAGCTCTAATTGTAAATGCATGTTGTGTTTTACATAACATTGCTTATAAATGGAGAATTCCATTAAATGAAATATATTTGGAGGAAGAAGGAGAAGTGCCGATACCATTTAATGATATAAATATAATGCAAGCAGAAGAAGTACGAATTAAGAAATATTGTGTGATGGTATTTTGAATAGGATATATATATATATATATATATATATATTTATATATATATTTATCACATAAATTGTATCACATAAAATTAGTACATTTCATAATCTTATAATAAATTAATAATTAAGATTATCACAGTACATTTCTTAACTTTATAATAAAAGATTTTTAAACACTACTTTTTTATTAATGTATTGTTTTATATCGATCAATTCTCATAACACGCCGCGTCAATTTTATTCAAGCATGTTCAAAAATGTATCCGCCCCCGACCGAAATCCGAATGTTTATTCATAAAATTTAACATAATTTCTTTTTGTTTCTCTGTAACATTCATTCTTATTCACACCGTTCAAACTACAGAGGTTATAAAGATAAAGGTATCACTGAAACATATATGCATGCATATACGCTTTACGAAATGTTCACTATGGTTTGTGCTCCCGTGAATCTAGGGATATCGTATTTTCATCTTGCTCATAGCCAATCGCGTGTATTTCTTCACGTGAAATAAATGTGCAAAAAGTGAGAAAAATCGACACAAATAGACAATCGATCCCCTGTGCTGAAACGGTCTGAACTTTATTCCCCACTATAGGTTTGTTCGCGTCGCATGCCCCAACATGCTCCTTTTTACTCCAATGCGCTTGTATTGGTGCACTCCTCAAATTGGACCAATACGAGCGCATTGAAGTAAAAAGGAGCAAGTTGGGGCATGCAACGCGAACAAACCTTATATTTTCTTGACGCCGAATCTAGAGAAAGTTTAGTGATTTTAATTTGACGCTGGTTTCTAGCGTCCATGAAATTGCACCTTTAGACAAGCGACAAATTTAGTCACGTGGTCTCTGTTTGACGCTGGTTTCTAGCGTCAATGAAAACTGCGTTTAATGTAAGTTGAAAAATTGTGTGTCGATATTTTCGATGAAATTATCTGGTATAAATTCATTTACATATATTTCTTAAATTCTAGATTTAACTATTTTATACATCTAATCGAAATAAGACCTGGAGGAAATTCTATTTATCAATAATTTTTTATTCGATATATATTTTTATACAACATATATATATCAAATAAAAAATGTCAAAAATTATTAATCAAACATTTCAATTCAGACATAATCTAACACATTTAATTCTTTCATTTAATAGATATTATAGGAATTATGTTTTCATTAATTTTTTATTTAATATTTTTTTTTTATTTTAAAATTAAATGTGTCTTAAAGATATACTTCTACAGAATTACTACTAAAGAATTATAATTATATCCATGTATATATATTCTATGTATAAATATTAAATTATTTACGTAAAATAAAATTCATAAGTCGTAAATATAAAATTCATAAGTTAAAAACAAGAAATTTATAATATATATATATAAAATCTAATATTTATATGTGTGTTGTGCATATTTTTATTTTATGTATTTTTATATTTTATTTATCTTCTGAGTGTATTTCTTTTGAAAAATTTTCTTATATTTTTAGGAACAATGGTGACAACTAACTGTGACCCTACATTTGAAAGACACTTTAAAGGTCACAAAGATAAAGTTACAGCTTTATGCTTTAATCTGAATACTACTCAACTTGTGTCAAGTAGTCTGGATAAAACATTGTTAGTATGGAATTTGACAGAATCAGTACGAGCTTATAGATTTATAGCTCATAAAGATGGTGTTTTGGATGTATGCTATGCACCATCTGGAGAAATTATAGCTAGTGCTTCAAAGGATAGATCTGTGCGAATATGGGTTCCTAAAATTACAGGGCAATCACTAGACTTTAAAGCTCACAGTTCTGCTGTGAGATCGGTACAATTTAGTCCGGATGAAGAAAAGGTAAATTTTATCCTAATTAATTATTCAATTTGTTGCTTTTGCTATAATATTTGATTGTTTCTAGTTGCTTACTGGATCAGATGATAAAAGTATAAAGTTATGGATGGTATGTCATAGAAGATTTCTCATGTCATTTGGTGGACATACAAATTGGGTTCGATGTGCTAAATTTTCTCCTGATGGTAAACTTTTAGTATCTTGTAGTGATGATAAGACAATAAAAGTATGGGACATTATTTCTGGACAATGTGTCAAGACTTTTAATGAAATAAAAGGTTTGTCAGATATATCATAATTTTGCATTCTGAATATCGAATAAAAATTTTGCTTTTGCCAGGACCTGCTACATATGTAGAGTTTCATCCAAGCAGTTCAGCTGTTGGATCATCCAATATAGATGCATGCATTAAACTATACGATTTACGAACAGATTCTTTATATCAGCATTATGCTGCTCATAAAGGGTCTGTAAATATGATCAAGTTTCATCCAAAGGGTAACTTTATGTTAACAGCTTCTAATGATTCTACAATAAAGGTAATTTAAGATTTTGACTTTATATGTATAACGATTTTAATAAACTGTTTTTATTTCTATTGTGAAAAAAATAAGAGAAATATTTAGGTTTTAGATTTATTAGAGGGTCGACCAATTTATACTTTGAAGGGACATGTTGGTAACATAACATCAATAACATTCTCACAAGATGGTGATTTTTTTGCTTCTGGTGGCACAGATCGACAGGTCCTAATATGGAAATCTAATTTCTGCAAAAATGATAAACCTATCAAGATTCCTAGACAATTAATACCTTCTTCCAGCAAAGAGAAATTTGACATTATAGATGAAAAATTATTTACAAACAATGACAAAGGAAAAGAGTATCAAAAAGAAGTAAGAAAGTGATATGCTAATATGATATAAAGTTATAGACTATAACAATAGTGTGCATTTTCAGAAAAAAAATATGTTAATTATATGAGTTAATTGTTATTTCAGTATTTATTAAAAACATTAGAAGAACTGGATTTAGAATCAGATGGAAATCATTGTAATGCACAATCCATAGTCAAGATACCAAGGAAAAAAATTGAACCTGAAGTAATCTATAAAAGAAACATTAAATCTCCTGAAAAACATTATATAGCAAATGTGTTACTTCCACAAGATCAGGTATCGGCCTATGTGCATTCGTCTAGTCAATCCAGTAAAACAGTAGAAACACTCTGTAATCAAGTACAATCATTACATGATACTGTTAATATATTAGAACAACGCTTGATGGTATTAGAAGAAGCAATTAGAAAATAATTTTGATTTTAATCGATTTTGATACAATCTAATTGTACTGTTGCTGCTACTTCATCAAATGAGTGGTAAGTTATATTCGCATTGTAGATTAAGTTGCAGCAAAAAACTACAAAGCACAAAATAGCATTTTTAGCTTCTCTCTTAGGTAAAAATATAATATTAGGAAATGTAACATTTATTTATGTGTAATTTACTCTTTAGATCATCATGATCACATTCAGTAACAAAAATACAATTGATTGGCACACATAATACAAAAGAAGCAGTATCTATAGGAAATTAGAATTTAGTTGACTTAGCTGGATCTGTACATTTGAAGAATGAAGAAGCTGTCAGGATGACAAAAACGAAAAATATTAATAAATCCTTAGCAAATCTTGATAATTTTATTTTAGCACTTTTGAATTGCCAGTCAAAAAAGGCATAAGCAAAATGAGTTTATTTCGAATTTCTATATGAAATATGATCTTCATCTAACAGTGATATATTTACTAACATGTAAGTTTTGAATTGCCTCTCAAAGAAGATATAAGCAAATGAGTCAATTTTGAATTTCTATATGGAACACGCTCTTGTGATCATGTACCATATTGAAATTCTAAATTGACTCATTTGCTTATGCCTTCTCAGGTAGCAAGCTGATGTCATTAAACATCAAAATGACGTCATTTTGACATTTAATAATGTCAGCTTGCTACTTAGGTTCTTTGAAAGGCAATTCGAAAACTGAATGTTACTAAATATATCACTGTTAGATGAATGTTATAACAAGACATTAAAATCATCGAGATTTGCCAACAATGTTAACAATTGCAAAATAGGAAATGTTAAACAAAATCGCATGGTTTTACAAAATATACAGAACAATACTAACTAAATTTAAAAATATTAATATTAATTAAAAAATAATTTGCACTTTTTGATTTAATTTATAATAATATATATCTACTATTATTTAATATCTTATATATATTTATCTAATTTTGTAATATGTCACACACACTATGGCTGGTATTCACAGTTGGTTCTTATGTGGGGGTATTGGTGTAATTTGGTTGTTTATCCCACTACCCGCCGATTTACTACCAGTAGACATCGGGCAAATCAACACACTCCGTTTATTGTTAATAAGTAAAAATATATTTTATAACAATAGTATACAATACTAATAATGGTATCAATCTAGTCTAGTCTTCTATTTTGGCTGCGGAGCACAAGCTCAAACACCACTAAAGTACCAATGGTATCAGTCTAGTTTAGTCTAGTGTCACGTCCAATGGTATCAGTCCAATGGTATCAGTACCAATGGTATCAGTCTAGTTTAGTCTAGTGTCACGTCCGAGTGACCTTCTTTCCTCTATTATTCTAGATCTAGGAAGAAAGGGTTAGCTCTCTATTCATTTAGGGCAGTGCTCGGAATTAGTTGCTCTTTTCGAGCCGATTTCGCGAGCGACGGGGTAGATCTCCCCACTACCGTCGAGGCTCGACGGCGGAGTCGTCGTTACTCCGGGCAACGCTATATCTCAGGAGCGTCGCTAAACATGTTAAGTTGTACCTTCCGCCAAATCGTCATTATTATTACATAATTTATATTTTTGTTAAATAATAACTGAATATTAACTTAATATTAACTTAATATTTAGTTATTATTTAACAAAAATATAAATTATGTAATAATAATGACGATTTGGCGGAAGGTACAACTTAACATGTTTAGCGACGCTCCTGAGATATAGCGTTGCCCGGAGTAACGACGACTTCGCCGCAGTGTTGTTAGACGGGCTAGGTTTTTTCGCGCATGCGCATTGAATGTAGTATTAATCATCGACATATAGAATGGACTGAGCATTGCGATATGTAAACGCGCGCCTGCTTTAGAGTGAGAGGTACTACATCTGAGGCCTATGTTTGTCTCTCTTGCAAGCTTCTGATTTGTTATTTCGTCCCCCTCCAGAATTCTAGCAGTAACATAGCATTAAATTTTTGACACCTTACCTTCGCCTACTCGCTTTGGAATAACGTGAAACGTTTATCTTTATCTTTAAAAATTAAAAAATGGTTTTAAGGTGTTTTGTGTGCAAAATTACGTATGATAAAAATAAAAAGGATATACAGATGCATAAGTAAGTACATTAAAAGTATTTTTTATAGGACATTATTGTAACACATTCTTTAAACATATTGTTTTAAAGCTGTATATAATTATATTATATATACGTAACTTGCATAGTTTTGTTAAATATATATTAAAATTATATATTATATAATAAAATTAAGATATGTAATAGTATGTAATAAAAATTGTATAAAGTAAAATTATAAAAAGTTAGGTTAGATTATGCGTTTTACAAATAAGAGATATTTAGAACATTATTTTAAATATTTTGTAATATAATAATAATTGAATTATACAATATAAAGCTAGTAATACATTATCATTATTTTCAGAGTTCCAGAAAAAGAACACATAAAGAAATTGTGGTTATCTGCATTAAACATCAAGCAGATTAGTCCAAATGCAAGAGTGTGTTCAAAACATTTTAATGAACAGGATTTCACAAAAAGTATTGTTGGGGAAAGAAAATATGTCAAATCTGATGCAGTCCCATCTATAAATTTACAGAAAAATGGAGAAATCACTGATCGTAGCAACTCTGAGAGCATAGAAGAGAGCATAGAAAGTACACAATACTGCAACAAGGAACATACATGTTTGAAAAGGTAATTTACAAACAAAATATTAAATAATTTCTGTTGATAAGTGTTATTATTTTTATATAAGAAATATAAGAAATACATGTAACTATAAATATTATATAATAAAATTTTGTTTTATACATATAATTATAACAATATCCTGTAAGTGGCATATATCATATTATATTTTATAATAATGTGTAGTATTGTAATTTTTTATAAATGTAAATAAATAAAATTTTCTATATATCAACAATATAATTTTTTTATTATTTATAACATTAGTATAGTGTGTAAATAATAATAATATTTATAATAAAATTTGTAAACATATATCTATTTATAAAACTTTATAATTAATAAAATATTAATATAAATATAATATAAATTAAAGCAAATTTATTGTTTATTTATAAATATATTAAATATATTAAAACAAATTTTAAAATAAATTCTAAAAAAATCTATTGACTACACATTTCATAGAAAAATGCACATGGTCCGCAATTTTTTTAGACGGCCCTGCAAAAAGAGAGACAAACATAGGCCTCAGATGTAGTACTTCTCACTCTAAAGCAGGCGCGCGCTTACCCATCGCGATGCTCAGTCCATTCTATATGTCGATGGTATTAATGAAGTAGTCACTCGCATGAAATGGGGTCCTGATTTCCCCCTCTGTTTAATTTTTCTTAAATTATTGAAAATTTTTTAAAATAATTAATGAATCGTATAATTTTTATTATAAATGTAATAAATTTAATTAAAAATGTTAAATATAAACATACAATAAACAAATAATGAAATTATAAAATATATACATATACGTGTACCTATGTTATAACATACGTAAATTACGAGTTTAGTTTTTATTTATACAATTTATAATTTGAATTATTGATTAATTTTAATATACATAAATTATAATAATACACTTTTATATTACATATATTGTAATAATTTATTTATTTTTACGTACGTTCAATTTATCTGTTTCCTGCGATTCCGCCAAAACTCCGTGGTCCAGGGTCTTGGTCCATAGTTGCGCGCGCAAACATCATACGTTACTGTAGTCGTCATGGTTACGTCACGGTAATACGCGCATGCGCGAAAAAACCTAGCCCGTCTAACAACACTGCTCCGCCGTCGAGCCTCGACGGTAGTGGGGAGATCCACCCCGTCGCTCGCGAAATCGGCTCGAAAAGAGCAACTAATTCCGAGCACTGATTTAGGGCAATCTGCATGCACCGACTATACCCTGGGTGCGCCGAAAGCTGGAACTGACTTTTCGGATCTGGGGAATTTTAGGAATAGGGAATGTTTCATAGGAACGTATGATAGCGTCTAGGAAAATCAAAATTAATTCGAAATCATATTTTCTATTTAAGGGTCGACAGGCGACATGGTGGAGACGCCTATTGGCCGGCCGGGAATTACGGATTCGTTCATCCCAGATATTAGCCAAAATACTTAATAAATCTTATTAAATTTACGATATTCTTAATCAGTAAAATTGTCCGCAGGGCGGCAAAGATTGATTTTTTGGAAAAAAGATGAATATAAAATTCATAATATAACTTGGGGAGATGCGCAGCTAGTAGCGGGTAAGGTTGGGTTAGCCACAAGATCGTATTTAATTTATTATAAATTTTTAAGAGCAATAATGCAAAATTCGACTCTGCCGACTTGCTTTATTATATAAAGAATATATTAAAAAATATTTCACGAAGCTACGTAACTTCTTTTTATGTAATATCTGGGATGAACAAATCTCACCAGATCTATACTCATGGGGAAATTTTTGTGGTATCATACTGACAGCTTGACAAAGAGAGAGTATCATTCTATCTTTGTTTCTCTTGCATTTGATATGTGTAAAAATGCAAAAGTATAATTACAAAAACCAATATATTACGCACACGAATGAGAAATATTTTACATCTGCTCATTATATATGAAAATATAAAAGTAATGCAAATTAAATTTCACATTTATTTATAATAGTATTGCGAGGTAGTAACACATGGAAATCTTATAAAGATGAATGCTGTACATCGATTAGCGTAATATTATGATTACAAGTCGCAATAATAAATGATTTTGCTAATATATTATTTTGAATAAAAATTTGATATGTATTTAAGATGCGTATGGAGAGTTGCGCGCCGCGAGGTAAATGAGCCTAATCGTGACACCTCTCGGCGTTATCGTTTAGCTTATCCCGAATATCGGCGAAAGCCTGGCTTTTGCCGAATCACCGTTTCCCGCTGTCGCAGAGACCAGGACAGGCGCGTAGCGAGCGGATGCTCCGATTTTAAGCTCCGATTACTCCGATCGTGTATTCGCAAATAAATAAGTTTTGTGGCTAACCGTGATTAAATCCTTCGTTTCCGGTTCTTCCTTTCTCATATATCTATATCTATATATTCAAATATACGAGTACACAACAGCTGGCGACGAGGATGGGATCTTAGTAGGCGTAGTGGAAATCAGCCACGTGGAATTCGTGGCGAGAGTTTTGCCAGAGCCGAATGGGCGACGGTGTTCAAGAAACTACGCAACAGAGAAAGCGATTTGCCGAGCAGGAGGAAATTAAGAAAAGATGCCGACGACGAGTTCAGGCTCAGGTACGCAAAGCCCGGTATCGGGGCAAAATCCACCGGCAAAGGTAGCAATCACAAATACATTGCAAGTCGATGTTTTCGATCCGCAGCGGCAGCCGTTAATTCGTTGGCTGCAGCGACTTGAAGGTGCCTTTCGAGTGTTTCAAATCTCGGAAGACGCAGAACGTGTTGCTTACTTATTACATTTTATAGGCGTAGAACCGTTCGGGATTTTGTGCGATCGATTGGATCCTATCGATTATACTCAAACGTATGAGACATTAATTGGAAAGTTAAAAAAATTTTACGCGCCCGAACCACTGGAGATAGCCGAAATATATATTTATCGGAAGCGTATGCAACGCACAGAGGAGACTGTCCAGAAATACATGGCGGCTCTCCAGAAATTATCGCTTCACTGCAAATTTGGAGAATATTTACCAGTGGAACTACGGAATCAATTTGTATTCGGCTTAAGGAATCATCGGATTCAATCGAGGTTGTTGGAGACGGCGAATCTCACGAAGGACTCCGCATTAAAAATCGCATGCGGAATGGAATTGGCGGAAAAGGGCGTCAAT